ACTGGACTTCAGCTTGCCAGCTGTGTAACTTAAGCACATCTTTAACTCCTTTGAGTAGTACTATATCCCCGAGGCTTCTTTACTCTTAATCAGCCCAGCATTTCGTAGAAATTTAGTCTTCTCTGCCAACCCTTACACTCCAGTTCCAGGCAGGCTACCCTGGTCTGCTGCCTTTGAAAGAGCATGGACTTTGAGACCAAACACCCTTCTGTCCAGTTTGGCTGGGTATCAGTCAGTGTGTACAACTTACATCACTACTCTGTGCTTCTTTCTTTCTGATGCAATGTGAACCATGGTCTCATGAGGATTAAATGAGGAATAAACATGTGAATTCCTGGCACACAAGAGTCCCTTGATGAGTGATGATTGAGTTAGCTCTGATGACCCATGATGCCCTGATTATCAAACAAAGTGGTGGTAAACTAGGCCAACGAGCAGAGCTTAAAACTGTAGGTGAGTTGGTTTGTGATACCCTGGTCCTAGACTAGACTCAGGTTAGAGCTGCTGAGCAGTCATTGTCCCTGACTCCCAGCTAGCAGGGCCAGCTGCCTTTGCTAGGAGAAAGTAGAATAGAGGGAACCTCACTGTCTGCAGGAGGGCCAGTTGGGATGAGGGTGAGATGTGGGGGTGGGGCTAGGTACATGCCCAGTTCCTTTGGCCAGGGAAATTCCTGCTCCTCTCTTGGGAGGTTGAAGAGGGAGAAACCTGGGTTCACTATGGGGAGGCTAATGCCTGCAGAAGTGCCAGGGCAAGGGACTGGTGTCCCCACACTGTGTTATCCCTGAAGATGGGGACAAAGCCTCCCTCATCCATTCCCACCAAGTTCTCTTTCCCTAAGGTTGAGGAGTGTTGCCAGCCTTTCAGCTTTACAGCCCCCCTCCCAGTACAATGTGCTGGCCTTGGCCTGCTCTTAGGAACATTTTATAAGCAGTGTAATCACAGAATTGAAAGAGCATGGGTAGAAATATTGCCTTAAGACCATGAGGCTTTGTTAGTTTGACATAATTAGGAAGCTATAATTTTTTCCAGAATGTAGAGCTCAGACTTTATTGACCCATTTAATTTTTTTAATAATGACATTTTACTAGAGCAGAACAGCATGCAGCCTAGGCAGCCTCTGGCTGGATCTTAGAATGACCTTAATTAAAATTATTTCTCTACTCTGTACCTTTTCCATGATACCCTGGCAACAAAACAATACCACTTGGGAAAACAACTTCGTTGTTTCTGTTGTTGCTACTAAAAGAGTAACTGCGCCATCAGTTTCCAGTATCCAGGGTCAAGTGGGTCTGTGTAATGTATCTGAGGACTCCCTCCTCCCTGAGTAATCAGAATTCTCAGATTAGCCTTTAGACCTTCACTCTCACTGAGCTGGGCCCCATTCTCTAGGAATATGGAGCCAGAGGATATTAGTCCAGTGTCTTTGGAACTGGTGCTGTATAGGTCCACCCTGGTAGCAGGTTGAGTATTCTTTCAGAAGCCAACACCTTTTGACCCCTTTCACCTCACTGCTCCCAGAAGAACCACTCCAACTACAAAGTAGGGAGAAGTTACTGGAAGTAAGGAGTTGCTTATTTGGACACCTGAGAAAGAACATTCCAGAAGGAGAACTAGGGCTTTTAAGGTCCATGTGCAACATGCATGGAAGTTGGAGGAGCAGAAAGCCAGTAAGCCTGAGCCAAGTGCTGAGGTGGGTGAGATGAGTCAAGAGAGTTCCTCAAGAATAGCCTTGTCTATCCTAACCACCTTTGCTGTTAGGAGCTTTGGAAAGCCTGTGCATAGGGCTTGACAGGATCCAAATCTGTAAGAGCATCAATGTGGCTGGGGGCTGGTGTGTCGAGCAGACAACGAGGGCTAGGCAGAAGCAGCAGACCCTGGAGTCAGCTTCATTTGCAGACTGGATGGGAGATATTGCTGGATCGATTCTGGGGAATGTTCTGAAGGTAGAGCCAATAGGATATGTGGATAGATCTATACAAACTGAGAAGCAAAGGGGAGCTAGTGATGATGGCAGGGTTTGGGCCTGAGCAACAGGTGCTTCATGTATAAAATGAGAATATAATAGCATCTACTTGGAAGTTTTGAGAATTAAGTAGGTAAATGTATGTAGTGCTCTACATTAGAACAGTGGTCAATGTCAGCTCATGGAAAGAATTGCTGACCATTAGCCTGTGCTGTGTGATATAACACGTCTATATGCATAGTCCTGTTGATGTCACCTATTTGATAATTTATTGAAAGCAGGGTCTACATTCAGCTCCTGTGTATAGCACAGGTATTAACATTTTAATTTCATAATGTGTATTGACCATACTTATTATATGTCCAGTATACACTATGAAGTTGCTGTGACGATAACATTTCCAGCAAAAACAAAGCTAAAGCCCTAAACTGTTGTCATATCCTTCAGCACCCTGCACAGTAAAGCGCTTGCTACTTTCTGCCTCTTCTTTACCCTCAGTGCATAGCTTCTTCTATATAAAACTATAGTCAGGAGACAGTCAGTGATGTTTTGACCTAAACTTGTCATTTCTTAATATACTCCAACCAAGTCAGAAGGAGAAACATATTCCTTTAAGTTTCTGAACCAGCAAATAAACTTGTATTTTTTCACTTTCCCCCACCTTTCTCCTGAAGTAAATTGACCAATTCAAATTCATACCTAACATAATCTCCTCTAATTAAATCTACTACTTAGCTACATTGAGATCTGTAACACAGTTATTTTTCTTCATAATCAAGGAAATAAAACTTGATGGTTATATATGTATTTCCCATGAGAATAGTTTAGAATTTTTTTAAGCTTTTCAGAATAGTAATGATTTTGTTATTGTAACTTCACTTGTGGCCCTGATAACTTTAGCCTGCTCTGTTTCAAATGCACACTGTGTGTCTCATACTCTTAAAACACAGTGGAGCAGCAGAGGAGAGAGCCCTCTTGTCAGTGTTCCATCTCCCCATGTGTAAAGTCCTAAATTTGGCCTGACACCTTTGGCTCAGTACCAAAAGCTCCTTCTTTCCAGACTGGGCCTTCTGTCCTGGGTGTGATGTGTGTTTGTGTTCACAGACCTTTTCCTCAGGCCCAAGCAGTTCGTGTTGCCTGTCAGAACTATCACCTTCACACCCGCATAGACACTGTCTGCACCTAACCTTTCTGATTCTCTGGGACAATGGCAGTGGTCCCTCAGCTGTGATTGGATCACCTGAGGTCAGGATTCTTCAGTCTTGAGACAGTCTGCTATGGAGAAACCATGTGCAAAATGCTGTGTTTATAATCCTCCAGTGACCATCCTGCTGGTGAAGCCAGCACTGGAGTGGAGGGTGGAGTGTCTGTGTTGAGTTTTAAATAAATGCTTACTGTAACACTCTCTTATGAGGAATGGTGCCACCATGTGCCAGACCCATCGGTGTGGAGACATACTGAGTACATGTCATGTGCTGTCCCTCTCTGGAACACAGGACCAGCCTTCCTGCTCCTTTTCCTTCTTCACTCACATGTGCCCAGGTGTGGAATAGATATTATATGTTCACTCAAACCATCACCCACAGAGTGGGGAATCATATCTGGTCCTTGTCTCCATCCTCTGTCAGGGCATGCCTTCTACTCCACCTGCTCTGCCAAGCACCCCATCCCACATGAGGTGACCACGCTCCACTGCCCACTTCCACATCAGCACCAGTCAGTGCAGTTCTTGGCACTCTGTTTTCATGTTAACCACTCCTACAGGTGAGTGGAGTCTTCTGTGGAGACCAGAAATGAGCCTTATTCAGTTTTGAACCCCAACTTGGTACTTATCCTAAGAGGGCTCAGGACATACACAAGGGATTGAATGACTTGTGTGAATTAAATAAGAAATCAGATGCACATAAAGCACTGAGGACCAACCTAGCATATGCTTGTTGTCTACTGTTATTAGTCATGTACTCTGTGCTACATGATTTTACCAGGGAAGCAGACACAAGGCAGACAGTCCTTGCTTCCACATAGCTTTGGAGGAGAAAAACAGACTCTTTGGCATTTCTGAGAATACTAAATGCAATGGAGAAAAGCAAAGCAGGGTCAGAAACAGATAGCCGCACAGCAGAGGTGAGGGTCAGAGGTGGTCCCAGCTGTGTCCCAAAGCAGAGAAGCAGAGGGCAAATTGACAAGTAATGTTGAGTGAGTTCCATGGGAGGCCAACATTTCTGGAGTGAAGTAGGTAATGGGACATCCCAGTGATCAGAGCCACTCACAACAGAGTGGAAACCTGGAGCCTGGGTCACAGGTGAAATAGGATGGTCAGGACTCTTGTCTTTTGTCCTCATGGCTAAATGGATAGGTGGGTGAAATGGGGTGGTTTGAGTATCTTCATGACATAAGTGCCCTTTCAGCTTGCAGCATGTGAGTCTGAGTTTCAGTTGTGAAATCCAGAGTTTTGAAATAGGCTAAGGAGTATCACTGTTACTGATTATGCTGCCACACTCATCTAGCTCTTGTGAAAGTCAGCCGCATACTCTGTGCTGCACAGGGCTTGTTACTGAAAGTAGAGGCTCCCACCAGCCCCATCACTTCAGGATGGTAGGAGATAAAATTTATTTCTAGAGACTTTTTATTGTGAGTTTGAAAACTGCTTTCTAGAATCAAGAAACAACAGTCTATAGAAATTTCTCATATGTTTCAAGCACTCCAGATCATGTCCCTGCAGCATGCAGGGTGAGTGTCTTGGGACTCTAATGTAGTTATTGGGTTATGCAGTCCTCAGTCAGAGCCTCTGTTCCTAGCAAAGCTGTGTGCTGCAGCCTGTTAGATTGGCCTGCTCCTGTGGAAGCTGTTCAGAAGACTGCACCACATGGCCTCTGCTCCACTCTTCTGAGCACCCTCCCAGCTGTTGGTCTGGCCAGCCCCCTCCAAGTCTCAGCTTCAGTGTCACTTGGCCAGAGAATCCTTTCTTCTTGACACTCTACCTGAAATGCATTATGTTCTCATTTATGCCACCCTCACATTTTCTTCTTTCTTTTAGCCATACCATGTCCGAATATGGGAGGATGACGGATGCCGAGCGAGACCAGATAGACCAGGATGCTCAGATATTCATGAGGACTTGTTCAGAGGCAATTCAGCAACTCAGAACAGAAGGTGAAGTGATCTGAAAGATGCCAACAGATCCCATGAATGTGCCAACCAGTTAAACTACTCACAGTGCAGCCACTTATGATCCCCCCTTACTTTCTGAATGGCATTTAGGACTTAAAACTTGAAAATTCTTCCTTCCTGGTCAGTTTTCTAAGCTAAGTTGTTCAAAGTCCTGAAAAGACTGTCACTCAAGTTAACTAAATGGCAGGCAGGAATGAAAAGGACCTCTCTAAATATAATCTGTAACCTACCAAAAGGCCAAGGTCAGAGGGAACAGATTGTGTGTGTGCAAGCATTTGCATATTTGTGAAGACATGCCTGTGTGATTATGTTCTGAGTGGCAGGACAGATGGCGAGCATGTGGCGAAGGATGGATCAGTAGTCTGTAAGATCTAGTTGTCCTATTAAAGTCAACCCCCATATAAGACGCCATGGTGAAAAGCAGTGCACCCCAGCTCTGCTATCTGCTAACTCTGTGGCCTTGGACAAGTCATTTCATCTCCCTGGGCTCAACTTCTTCATTCAAACAATACAGACAGTAATTAGGTATAACACTTAGATTCTTACAGCATGCTTAGATCACTGCCTGGCACTAGGGGCCTAGTATTAACTCCCCTTTTTACTGGGTTTCATCCCTGAGGAGGAACTAGGCTTCCAAGCCACATGTCTTCCTTGGTTTTTAAGCACATATATTAATATTACAAAGGTCAAAATCCCCAGGTACTGTTAGGATCATGGCTGACTTCTGGTTGAGAAGCTTCTGAGAGAACGCTGATCAGCCACTGGGAGTATCTGATGAAAGTTTACCAGAAAAATATGCGTCACACAAAATGTTGTGTGCAGCATTGCAGAGTACCCAAATCATCATGAGTCCCAGGTTATATAGCCCTCTAGCAAAAACATAACCCATGCCCCATACTCTTAAGTGCATAGGCGTTTGTGACGTTAGGCTACCTCTTGTCTCTGAACCTCGGTTGGCTCATTTGAGGTATTACTGTGAAGTCCTAGCATCATCCCTGCACACAAGGTACCCCCACCTTCCCACCAGTAGCAGGGTCTTACCATAGGAACCGGCACAAGCTTCTGTGTGGTGAATTCACCCTTGTGGCTTATCAATGTAAAAAGTTGTTGGACCCCGATATCAACCCATACACCTATGAACACCTAATTTTTGATAAAGAAGCTAAAAATATAAAAAAGAAAGCATATTCAACAAATGGTGCTGGTATAACTGGCTGTCAGCATGTAGAAGAATGCAAATAGATCCCTATCTATTGCCATGCACAAAACTGAAGTCCAAATGTATCAAAGACCTCAATATAAATCCATCCACACTGAACCTCATAGAAGAGAAAGTAGGAAATACATTGGAACACATAGGCACAAGACCACTTCCTAAATAGAACACCAGCATAGACAGTGAGACCAACAATTAATAAATGGGACCTCCTGAAACTGAGAAGCTTCTGTGTAGCAAAGAACACGGTCAATGAGACAAAACTGCTCCCTACAGAATGGGAAAAGATCTTCGCCAACCCCATATCTGTCAGAGGGCTGATCTCCAAAATATACAAAGAACTCAAGAAACTAGAAATCAGACTACCAAATAATTCAATTTAAAAATGGGGTATAGGTCTAAGCAGAGAAATTCTCAACAGAACAGTCTCAAATGGCAGAAAGACACTTAAGGAAATGCTCAAAGCCTTAGTCATCAAGGAAATGCAAATCAAAACCACTCTGAGATTCCAGCTTATACCAATCAGAATGGCTAAGATCAAAAACACCAATGACAGCTTATGGACTACCAAATAATTCAATTTAAAAATGGGGTATAGGTCTAAGCAGAGAAATTCTCAACAGAACAGTCTCAAATGGCAGAAAGACACTTAAGGAAATGCTCAAAGCCTTAGTCATCAAGGAAATGCAAATCAAAACCACTCTGAGATTCCAGCTTATACCAATCAGAATGGCTAAGATCAAAAACACCAATGACAGCTTATGCTGGAGAGGATGTGGAGAAAGGTCAACACTGCTACATTGCTGGTGGGAGTGCAAACTTGTACAGCCACTGTGGAAATCAGTATGGCAATTTCTCAGAAAATTAGGGATCAGCCTACCTCAAGACCCTGCAATACCACTGTTGGGCATATACCCAAAGGAGGCACATTCACACCAGAAGGACATTTGCTTAACTATGTTCATAGCAACATTATTCGTAATACCACAACCTAGATGACCCCAAAGAATGGATAAAGAAAATGTGGTATATTTATACAATGGAGTACTACTCAGCGGTAAGAAACAGTGACATCCTAAAATTTGCAGGCAAATGGACAGAACTAGAAAAAAACATCCTGAGTGAGGTAACCTAAAACCAGAAAGACAAATACAGTATGTACTCGCTCATAAGTGGATACCAGACATAAATCAAAGATACCCAGCCTGTAATCCACAACCCCAGAGAAACTAGAACCCACTTCCAGAAACAGATGGAAGCAGAAATCCACAACTAACCAATGGGCCAAGCTCCTGAAGTACAATCAAAGTGAGGGAAGAGCAATAATATGAACAAAGGAGTCAAGACTATGATGGGGAAACCCACAGAATCAGCTGACAGGAGCTAGTGAGAGATCACTGACTCAGGTCTGAGAAATGGGGAACTCCCTTAACATATGTGACAATGGTGTGACTGGGACAGTATGTGAGGCCACTGGCTGAGGATCCAAGATCTAACACTAATGCACAAACTGACTTAGTGAAGCCCATTCTATATGGAGAGATCCCTTGCCCAGCCAAGACACAGGGGTGTGTGGGTGGAGAGGTGCCTTGGTCCTGCCTCAATGAGATGATAGGACAGACTTAATAGACTTCATAGGGGAGGCTTTACCCTCTCCAAGGAGCAGATGGGAGGAGGGGGGAGTAAGAGGAGAGGAGGGATGGGAAACTTGGATTGGAATGTAAAAAATAAATTAATAAAAAAAGGTTGTTGGAGAGCAGGATAGTATGGAAAGTACCACTCATTGTCTAAGGGGAGAATGCTGTCATTGTATTCAGGCAGCGGATGTCTGTGGTCCAGCATGTGTGATTTAAACATGTCACTTGAAGGTGAGCTTGAGCACTGGATGCTGTTAATACAGCCAGGTCAGCATTCCGGAAGGAGCTGAATCAACTCAGCTCCCTCGGTGCTGTAATAAGCTATAAATTATTTGACTGCAGTTTCTATGGGTTTAATCTCTCACCTGGTGAACCCTAATAAATCTTACGCTTAAAAATGTAGTCTTGCTTGACATGAGACTGGTTTATAGCTGTGCTTTTGAACATGCTTTCAGTGAAGAGCTGTGAGGAAGCTGACTATTCTTTGGGGTCCTTGAGCACAGACCTGACTGAGTGCTGTCCTTTTCTCTTTCAGCCCACAAGGAGATACATTCCCAGCAAGTGAAGGAACACAGGACCGCGGTTTTGGATTTCGTTGAAGATTACTTAAAAAGTATTTCATTTTCTTCTAAAGGTCAAATGTGGCATTTCATAAGAGATGCAATTTAGAATAGAGCTTTGCTAGCTGAAGACCATAGTGTCTCATTAGTGTTAATGATACCTTTGCCTGAGAAGCCATTTTAAATGCTCTCTGTTCTGGTATTTTCTGCTTCAACAGGAGTATGTAAGCTTTACTCTGAACAAAGATTTAAAAATCCCTTTGCCTGAGAAGCCATTTTAAATGCTCTCTGTTCTGGTATTTTCTGCTTCAACAGGAGTATGTAAGCTTTACTCTGAACAAAGAGCCATCCGAGTTAAGCGTGTGGTGGATAAGAAGAGACTGTGAGTATTTCTACCTTTGCTCTTCCTTCCTCAGTTAAAACAGGGGCAACAAGAATGGCAGCCTGAGCTCCTCACGCCCTGACACTGTGGGCCTCTGTGCATGAAGTCTTCACCAAATGCTGTCATAGCAGCTGAAGACATACTATGTACCAAGTGTGCTGGTCACTCGGTTAGCCACAGCAGCCCATGAGGCAGGTTCTCTCATTTCCAGATAAACACTGTGGTTCAGCAGGTTTTAAGCTCATGTGACCCCACAGTCTCGTGGCAGCTGAACTGGTATTGAGCACTTACGTAATTTCTTTTTATTTTTTTTTTTTTTGTTGGGAGTAGCAGGGAGTCAATCTGGCTATGTAGTACATGCTGGCTTCAAAGTCATTATGCAGCCCAAACTGGTCTTGAACCCATATTTTTTTCTGCTTCAGTATTCAGAGTGAGGTGGTTATAGATGTGTGTCACCTACCCAACTTCTCACCCCATTTCTTAATAATCCTGTAAGGTGGGACACTTAGAGCTATTGACCTTGGTCTTTGTCCTCCCCCCATACCTCCTTCTCTGAAAGAGTTTTTCTGAAAAGGGGTTTTCGTGGTGATGAATGCTCCCCTGTGTCACTGACAATATGACATAATATATTCAAGATGTCATGTGCACTGACTCCTACCCCACTCCAATACCCATTTAAGCATGATGGCTGCAGTTTGTCCAGGGAGGATCCAGGGGAGCAGGTCCGACTCTGGTGTTGTAACTTTAGCTTATCAGTATGGTAAGGAGAGCAGTCACTGGCTCTCACAGCCCCCCTTCCCCCCAGAGGAGAAGCAGCTGTGTCTGCTGTGCTATCACACTAAGAGACACACAGCCTTGGTTCTAAGCAGAAGTTTCCACTGATGTCAGTCAAATGGGAATTGTATGGAATCAATCACCTGCCAAATAGCTGTTCTCCACAATTACCCTAAACAGGAGACCTTGGAGACCTCAGAATAACTGTAACTCTTCACAGTGTGACCCAGACCTCTCTTCTTAGGCTTGTATTTCTCAGGCAGGCCTTGAGTTCTGATCATACTGCCTCTGCCTCCCAGATGGTGGGATTGTGGAACTGCAGGCATGTGTTACCACCCTGACTTCTTTCTAGTCTTTCTTCACCTTTATATACAATACATGTTTATTATGTATAGTTTCATACATAATCTTATGCCTGCCTCCCTTATGCACAGGTATCACAAAGGCTAAATATGTCAAATTCAAAACTATAGTGACTATATTATAGCTTTTGTTTCTAAATCAATCACCAGTGACATCTGCTCTGCCTGCCTCTGTGTGACTTTGTTCTAAAGGAGCTTTGCCTTTCTTGTCCCCAGTTCTTGTTGAATTCTCCATCCATAGAACCTTTCACATAGCCTGCTCTGTTCATCTGGTGGACAAAATCCATACTCATCCTTCCAGCCCAACTGAAACACCACCTGTCCTGTGAAGTGTTCCAGCTGCTGCCAACAGTGTTGTGTCCCCCTTCTTAGTAGGCTCCTCATGTGTTGTTCATGGCCAGGTGCAACACACACACTCATGCAGTCACTATTGACTTATGTCTCCTCACACACCTCAGCCCATCACACAATGCCTGTCCTTTGGGGATGCCAGTGGGTAGAGTGTGCAATTGTCATTGGTGGGCTGTTTCTGTTTGGGTTGCTGATGGCTGTAGTTAAGAAGTTTTTATGAGTCTAGCTGCTCATGTTCTGTGGCATTGTTGTCACTATCACCTTTATCTGGTGAAGGAAAACACACTTGTTAAAGTGCAGCTTGCTCACTGTAATTGCTCACTGTAATATCTTAAAAGTGTGGATGGTATTATGTAGTTGCTTTTGTTCTTGTAGAGTGATGTCACATCTATCTACCATACCAAAGGGCTCTTATTTCAAACTGCTGAAAATATTTTGCTCATTATGCCAGAAGTATTCCCAGCTGACTGCTCTACACTTTCCTACAGTGACTATGTTGTCTGTAAATGATGGTGCATTATTAAAAATACCTATTTTCATGTACCCTGATGGCATTTTGCTTTGTGAGCTGACAGTAGTGGTACCTGCCGCATGTTGCCTCAAGCCAGAGAGGGATAACTACCCTGGGCATCACATCTCTCTGCTCTTTTTCCTATAAGTTTGGAGGTAGAGACCAGCATCTTCTGACTTTCTGATCAGTGCATTGATCAAAGCCTGCTATAAAGTAGTTGGTTCCTGACTGAAGGAGACTTCAAATGGGGCATGGTCACTTACTCTTGCTCATAGAGTTGCAGAGTAAAAGCTTACAAACTAGAAATACGTGGGACAATATTGGATGAAGCATTGGCACAAGTGGCTCTATCACACATCCCCAGAGGATATGAAATCCACCTCTTTTCCTCTTGGTCTCCTTAGATCTCTGGTATTTGGGGGTGATTAAAGCTGAAATGGCCATCACACACTCTGGTGAAATAAATCATCTGGGCTAATCAGAAACATGTTCTCTCCAGAAAAGCAGTTTGTGTGTCATTGACCTTTTTTTTTCTTTCTCCGTCCAGAAGAGGCTTTAGGTAGCCCTCTGAGAATCAAGACTAGCCTGAGACTTGTCTGCTAGGGCAGAAGTACCTTCCATACTGTGCAGTGAGTGTTGGCTTTTGTTTGTGCTTTCCAGCTGACTTAGCTCTGAGATTTGCAGGATTCAGGCCATTATTTGAACCCTTCACTTTTCTGGGGTTCTTATGAGTGGAAACTTTTGGGGGCATTCTCTGTCTGAGGGAGATCTGAGAAGAATGAAAACTGATGGCTAAAGATTATAGCAGGCTACAAAACAAGGTCAAAAGGCATCACTCCACAGAAGCTGCCGAGTTCATCAGTGTATCTTAAAGTTGTGTTACTAGCATGTCCCCCACCACAGATCCTGCAGTTGAAAGTCTTTCTGAAGGTATTCAGAATTCTTGGTGGTCCTAGTAAAGCTTACTCTGACAATGTAGTCTATTGTTGGACTGAAGAAACACTTTGTGTCCAGAGATCTGTTTGCATGGGCTGTGTGTCATGAAGACAACTTCCTAAAAGGAGCATCAAGCCCTTCTTCTGCCCAGGTCAACACACACCAAAAACCACTGCTGTGATCCACAGCTATACAGCCCCCTCACATTCTTTGTTAAGTGTTCTCTGCCATCAGTACAAAGGAGGAAATTCATGCTGCTTTTCTTTTAGAGAAGATATCAGTTCTTGTGTGACACATGGCATCACATACTGCACTCATACTTAAAAGAGTCTATTTATGATTCAGCCCTCTCTCCTCAACAGGACTGGTAGACTGCTGCAGCCCCTGACTTAGGATCCTGCACATAGCAAGAGCTCAGTAGATGCTGCCAATGTTTGGAAAGTCCATAGTGATGGAAATGGAGAGGAGGAGAGGCAGAGATGCCATGTGATACGAGGGCCATAGTGTTGATTCTTCCTCATTTACTATCTATGATGGGGTCTAGTTTGTTTGGAAAAGGGAGTAGGAGACTGGCCTGTGGGCCAAGTCTAGACTTTGGCCTTTTTTTGTCTGGCTTTCCAGCTAAGCATGATTTATTGTATTTTAAAAGATCTGTAAACCAAGAAAGAAGAGTGTGAGTTAGAGCTTGAAATGTTCACCATGTGTTGGTCACTGTGCTGACCCCAGTGTAGAACAATACCTCCTGTTGTGAAGGGCCACACCTTTGTAGTTTTTGCAGTCTGCCAGGGACTGATGTGTTAGTCTCCTGTGCATGACAGGGTCACAGCTTTGCCTCAGGTGGCCTGCCACAGTGGTCTGATGACACCATACTGCTCTATACCATGTTCATTGAGACAAAGGCACTGTCATGTGCTGTGCATTCTTGCCCCTCATTTTGTACTTAACTTGTGGCAGATCAGTAATAAGCAGTAAGGAATCTGGTACACCACACTTTGAGGAACACTTACTTTAAATCAACTTCCCTAGGAAGTGGTAGATGCCCAGTAAATACCTGTTAGCTGAGTGACTGTCTAATGGAGAAAGTGGCTTTAGGTAGACACTGTCCCTGTGTCTCAGAGGCCTCTGTAACTCAAATGCGACTTTGGAGTAGGACACTGTGATGTCATATTCCATACTCTGCCCTCTTCTGGAGAGAAGTCCTTCTGGAATGACAGTGGCTTTTTTTGTGTTTGCAAAGTATGCTTCCATGCTTTTTTTTTTTTCCTCCAAAACCAAGAAAATCTGTCTCTTTTTTCTCTTCTTGCTCCTTTACAAATTCAAATACAATCCCAAGGCTTTTCAAAGTCAGGGGCCTGGAAACAGATGTTGAAACTTGTGTTGATCACAGCTAGATAGTGCTCAGCCTTCAATTTGAGAAGTATGCTAAAGTAAATTGGGCATAAACTGATCTTTGTGGTGACTTTTTAAAAAATTGCTCCCCCTGCAACCAGGTTGCCTTTGGCTGGCTAATTTGTAATTTCCCTGGGGTATTTCAGTAGACATTCTGTATATAATTAGAATCTGTTTTTATCACCTTAAAAAGTGTTCATCTTTGTCTGCTTCTCTGCAGCCCTTTATTTATTTTACATTGAAAACTGGCACTGCCACACTCCAGACTGAGGGTGATGGGCATTAAATGAAATATTCAGTCAAGAGGCAGTGCAGCCCATCCCCCTCCTGAACCAAGCAGTCCTGAAGCCAGGAAATGGGGAGGGGTAAAGGTGAGTGTCTGTGCTGGTGAGGAGCCCTGCTGCCCAGGGTAGGGTGTCAGGGAGGGCAGGTGGTCAGAGAGGCAGTAAGAGGCATGCAATGATAGGCATATCCTCTCCAGGAGAAGTGGTGGTGGAGCTGAGGGTGTTGGCTTACACAAGTGATCCAACAATTGATAGAGAATGTGTAGCAAGCCAGTTTTTTTTTTTTTCTGTATAGAAAAGTGAAAAGGCCAGGATGCTTAGACTTTGTGATAGGGGTTATAATGAAAGATACAGTGTGACATAGTTTTCAGTTTCCATAGCTCAGTCTGGAAG